GGTTTAGGGATTTAGGGGTCTAGGCGTTTAAGGTTCAGGGTTTAAGGGTTTAGGGGTTTAGGGTAGAGGGGTTTAGAGGTTTAGGGGTTTAGGGTTCAGGGTTTAGGGGTGTAGGGGTTCAGGGCTTAGGGTTTAGGGTTTACGGGTTTAGGGGTTTAGGGGTTTCGGGCTTGGGGGTTTAGGGTTTAGGGTTCTTAAGTTCTTGTTCAGGATCTTACCTCAAATTACCAAAAACAAAGCCGCCACTAGACTACTTACTGCAGATCCCTAACATGGTAACTTAACCTGAGCTCTTTTAACAAGAACCCTCGGGGTTCGGGTCAGGAAGCCAACCCTACACCCTAAAACCACGGATTGGATAGCCCGAACAGGAAGCACCTGATACCCGAACAACTGGGATCTTAGGTTCAGGATCTAAGGCTTAATATAGGGGCCTTATCAATTAGAACAGGGTTTTGGGGCCCTTTATATTATCATTAATATTAGGAGCCCCCCCCCCCTCCAAAAAAAAACAAAAAACACAAAACATAGGATGAATAAAGGCCTACCCGGAACCTTGAGACCCCAAACGAACATAATGTTTTGATAACTATGTCCCCGTGTGTTCTTAACGCAGAGGGTCCAGATACACTACCATTGTGGAACTAGGTTCCGAAACGTAGTTATTATTATGTTTTTCGGGCCTGATTCCATAATAGTAGTGTGTATATATATATACATACATGTGTATGATATGTCCCTATGTGTTCTTAACCCTAAACCCGAAACTCTTAAGATTCGCATTTTGGGGCTGCGGCCGAATTCCCTGGGGGTGGCTTCGGTGGAGGTCCTGTGAAGTATGCAAAGAATCGGATGTGCGGGTTTGGAGCATAGGGTTTAATATAGGGGCCTTAATAATTAGAATAGGGTTTTGGGGGTTCCTTATTGTGATTGTGGTGTGCTATAACCAAAACCCTATTCTAATTATTCAGGCCCCTATATTTGGGTGCAGGGTCTGTTTGCGGCTTTACTTGAATGGGAACGGGGGACACTTTAGATCTATAACAGCTTGAAGTGACCCAGGCCAAGAGACATGTCAGCAACTTCTGTTGCCGTTCTACCGTGGCTTCCCCATATGTGCTCTTCTTCGCCTTCTTCGCTTCTTCAGCTACGCACATGGTTGCCGTTGGTATTGCCATGCGGGTGTGTGCGGTGGTCTACTGGCTTTTAAGTGGAGTTTGTGATCGGGCCGCTGCTGAGACATGATCATGCTGATAGCGCCTGAAACGGATAAGACCGACTCGGAAGATTGCAGGATGCCATCGATCCGAAGGGATCCAGCTCCCCACCTCGATTCCGAGTTCCTAGACACTGAAGGGTTCCAAGTTTAGGGTGGCACCAATCCCAACGACGCAGTACCATGTTTGAAAGCGGTGTGAGTGTCAGCATCCTCTGGCTTCCGCTCACGACACTCGGTTTAGGGTTTAGGGGGTTTGGGGGTTTAGGGGTTTGGGGGTTCGGGGGTTTAGGGGGTTTAGGGAGTTTAGGGAGTTTAGGGGTTTAGGGTTTAGGGTTTAGGGCTTAGGGTTTAGGGTTTAGGGCTTAGGGGGTTTAGGGTTTAGGGTGGCCTTAGTAGTCCTGCTCTCGCGCGGCCCTTAGTAGTCCCACGGTTGCTCTTCTTTCACTTCCTTCGACCCGCAATGCATTCCTGGACTGTGAATCGTACTCCAAAATCCCCCCCCAAAAGGGCTCTTAGGATACACACACTCCTAGATTACCACCGATACTGCAAACCCTAAAGCCTATCAGCCCAAACCCCAAACCGCGAAACCCTAAACCCCAAAAGCCCCAAACTGTAAGCCTTCAGGCGACTCCCTGCTTCCTTGCCTTAGCTCCAGGAAGATGGGGCCACAAAAAACCCTGAACCCTAAACCCTGAACCCGACACCCTAAACCCTAAACTCCTTGCCTTGGCCCCAGGAAGCCAGGCCATCAGGCAGAGGTGAGCTCCTTGGCAGTACGTCCCAGGTTGCGGGGTGCAAAGCTGGAGGTTCCTTAAGGACTCCAGGGGAGGTCTGTGGGGATTCCATAGGTCCATAACCCTAAACCCTAAGCCCCCAAAAACCCTAAAAACTAAACACCCTAAAAAAACCCAAGCCCTTAAAACCCTAAACCCAACAAGCCCTAAAAAGCCCTAAAAACCCTGAACCCTTAACCCTAACCCCAGGGTTTCGGGTGTAGGATCGAGGGTTCGGCGCTTGAGATTTGGAGCTAGGATCTTGGGCTGAGGGTCAAACGCGTTTGCGGCCAGAACGGGTTTAGGGCTTATAGGTTTATGGGTTTAGGGCTTTATGGGTTTAAGAGTTTAGGGTTTAAGGGTTAGGATTAGGGGTTTCGAGCTTATGGGTTTAGAGTTTAGCGGTTTAGGGCTTCTATCAACTTTCTCCCGTTTTTTGTACGCCCAGATGAACGCCTGACGCCGTTCATCCTGCGGGCTATACGGCAGCGGGTTGAGCGCTACTGTCGATGATACCAATCCTGCACTACCCATGATAAGGAATATTTCATAATTCCCGGAGTTTAGTAACGCTCCTGATAGGGTAATGCAGGATTTATATCATCAACACGTAGTAGGACACCCTGCAGCCGCGAGAATGGTAAAGTTGCTACGCCTTCAACCCTAACCCTAAACCAAAAAAGAAAAACCCCAAACCCTAAACTCAAACCACAAAACCTTAAACCCCAAATCCACAACCCTACACCCAAAACCCTAAATCCTGACATGCACACGGCGTGGGATCCTCAGAGCGTACAAGACGAATCGAGGGAACGTAGGGACCAACAAAACTGTTGAAGCCTTCGAAGCTTTCCCTGAAGCCATGGAGCAGGGCTTGGGTTGAGGGTTTGGGGTTTAGGGTTTGGGAAGCTTCAGGGTATTTTCAGGGTTTTAGATGGTTTATAGGGCTTTAAGGGTTTAGGGTGCTTAAGGGTTGAAGGTTTAGGGTTTTAGGTAGCTCAAACGTAACCTGGACCTCGACGGCCCAATGCCAGGGCAACGGCTGAGTCTTCTCCAGGCGAATGGTCTGCAAAGCGTCGTACTTGTTCATTAGATAGAGCCTCCCGGCACGATCGGTCTAGGTGTTTTACTATTTTTTCTGCTGTGGGGTTGACTCATGATGGAAGGAGCAACAAATGCAGCAGAAGAATCAGCAGCAACTCCCTAAACCCTAAACCGCCGAAGGGCCTGCTCCATTGCTTCAACATACCCCCAGGGTCCATGTGGCACTGTTACGGTTGTTTAGTACTACCTATCTACCTATCTCTATCCATCTATCCATCCAGCCATCGATCGATCGATCTATCGATCAATCTATGTACCTATCTATCTATCTATCTATCTATCTATCTATCTATCTGCCTATAAGAAACCATCCATCCATCCGTCCATCCGTCCATCCATCCATCCATCCATCAGTCCGTCCATCCATCCATCCATCCATCCATCCATCCATCCATCCATCCATCCATCCATCCATCCATCCATCCAACATGCCTTGTTGAAGATCGATTCACAAGCCCTTTTGCAACCCTCTAACACCCTTCCTCCAAAGACCCTCATGCCCTAAGTCCATCCACAATGTCCTCGAAAACACAAAAGCCTAAACGGTCTAGATTTAGGGTCAGGGTTTCAGATGTAATCTAAGGGCATTAATAACTAGATTAGGGTTTTGGGGCCCATTATACCATAGGTATACTAAGGAGCGCCCAAAACAGTATTGGTAATTATTTAAGCCCCTACACTAGGTTTACGGTCTGAGGTGTCGGGCTCTGGGTTTACGGCTTCGGAGCATTCACCGGGGTTTAGGGTTTAGGGTTAGGGCAAACCCTTTTCCATTCACCGGGGCTCTGGCGTTCGCCGTGTGGGGCAGTGACCCTGCCTTCAACGACAGGCTGATCTTTTCCGGTCAAGGTGGGTCTTAGGCTTGTGCTGTCGAGGTCAAAAAGGTCGGATCAAATCTTTACTATTTAGGGCTTGGGATTAAGGGTTTAGGGTTTAGGTTCCAAGGTTTAGGTTTTAGGGTTTAGGGTTTATGGTTTAGGACTCACCCTTTGGTGCTGAAGGTCGTTAACTTAGCAGCCTACACAAGCGCTGTATAGGAATACTTTGGGTTATACAGGCCATGTGTCTACCCTAAACCCCACACCCTAAGCCCCAAACCCTTAACCCTAAACTCTAAACCCCCAAACCCTAAACCCTAAACCCTAAAACGCCAAACCCTAAACCCCAAACCCTAAAACCCCAAACCCTAAACCCCCAAACCCTTTGGACAATCATCCGCCTGGCATAATGTAGGGCCCTTACTAGTTTGGGTTTCGGGTTTTGGGTTTAGGGCCTTAATGATTAGAATAGGGTTTTTGGGGTACGTTATACGGTATTTTGCAAAAAGGAACACCAAAATTGATTAGAAAAGGGTTTTGGGTATGTTATAAGGAACCCCCCAAAATGGTATGGGTAATTATTTAGGCCCCTATATTAGGCGCCATGTCCGTAAGATTACGACAGCTGTGATTCTCGGACATTTATTAAGACCAACGCTGAACCTTAGTTTACAAACAAATAGATTCTCATGGGTTCCTCTTCCTCATGCTAAACCCTAAACCCTAAACCCTACAAAACCGTACTGCTCAAGAACTCCCTCTGCGTGTGTGTGTGTGTGTGTGTGTGTGTGTGTGTGTTTGGTTGGTCTGGAGACAAGGTCTTGAGGATTCTTGGCGCCTTCCGCTCAACTTACTTCTCCAAAAAGCCGGAAAATAAAAGGTTTAACTTTCAGAGTACTACTAAACTATAAGTGCCCAAAAAGTTTGAAGGTTGGGTATCGGAGAAGTAAGGCAGCACCTGGCATGAACCACTGGGAAGATTCATCAACAGCCCCCGAAGAACTCATCCTGCGGCCGCGCGGCGGAGGGAGCAGCAAAGACTTGCCCAACGGCGTGGAGCCTTGTTGAAAACAGACTGACTGCCAGGCTTTCGGGTTTCAAACGGACATTGGAGGAACTATAGGGTTTAGAGTTTATAGGGTTTATAGGGTTTAAGGGAACAGGAACATCGTGGGAGCAGGCCCCAGGCTGGTGAGCAGTATTTTCTCAAGCCCAGACCCGAAAGAGTCTAATCCTGAGCCAACAAAGTCCATCACAAATCATCACTGAGAAGCTCACACATACACTGCACCCCCATCCACTACGTAAGAGGTTCTCTAACCCCTGTTGCATCCTGCTAGAGTTTAGGGCTTGAAAGTCAGACAGAGAGCTGTTCACTGCCTGTCGAGCTGATTCGCTCCAACTCCATCATCACTCCGGGAAAAGCGACTACCCTAAACCCTAAATCCTGAACCCTGAACACTAAACCCTGAACCCCAAACCCTAAATCCACAGATTGTTTTTTACAGGTCTGCTTGCGGATGATGGTGTCCTAGCGACTGTCGGCTTGCCTGGGCGGCAAGGATTTTTATGCTTTGAGACACAAGCCATCAACAACACAGAAAGTAACCTCACCGTCTGCAAAAAGCACGAGACCAGGGGGGCGGATGAGCATTCTTCACTTCTGTGATTGTCCATGTCTTCGTGGATGGTCTTCTTGACTATGAAGTCACCCTCCTGCTGCCGCCCAAGACGGGCGTCGAAGTCCCGAAGGTCGCAGGACGGACTATCTTAAAGCTGCGCAGCAGCATGGCGGCAGATGATGGCAAGTGAGTGAGTTAAGGTGTGTCATAAACACAATGTCTTTGCGGACCGAGCACGCGGCTTTCAAAGGGGCCCCCATAGCGAAAATCAGAGGTGCAGTGATGTACCCCAACTCTTGGGCGTAAAGGTTTGGACTGCAAGGGACAAGGGCTTAGGGCTTTGCGTATAAGGGTTTGGGGCTTAAGTTTAGGTACTACGTATGTGTTTGGGATTTAAGGGTAAAATGTTCAGGGTTACCGGGATTGGGATTGTGAAAGGTTTGGAATTTCAGGCTTTCGGATGTCAGGGTTTGGGGTTTGGAATTTAGTCATTCAGGCCGGGCTCCAGGTTTTAGGCTGGAGCATGAGGTGTGGTAATGTAGGGGCCTTAATAACTTGAATAGGGTCTTGGGCTCATTTATAGTGTATAAAGCAAGAAATAAATAAACGAAAACGAAAAATATAAATAAAAATAAATAAATAANNAAAAAAAAAAAAAAAAGTACGTCTTGGTAACTATTTAGGCCCCCATATCAGTGTTAAGCCACGGCTAGCTACGGGTCTCGTCCCGGAGAACCTCGACGGCAGCTCCGCGGTTTAGGGGTTGAGGGTTTAGG